ATGTAAGGTTGTCCATACAGCATGTATGGCTGTTGAGGCGCATACGGGGCCGCTTGGAACATCTGAGGACTAAAGTGGGCGGACATGCCGTCTGTCTGGTCCTCTCGGTTTGATTAAGAATACCTCATTGAGGTATTTTGAAAGCTGTCATTAAAGTTCGACGTTGAGGCCGACTCTGACAATTGCATATTCCTCTTTTGCTGGATTAACATCCGAGCATCGGAATATGTTTTCTTGGAACCATCCAGCTGAACATGCCGTATGGCCTTCCTTTTCCTTGACGCAGGGAAACGGAATTTGGTCAAGTCAATCACAGGTGACTGCTCCTTGGTGGAAACAGTCGTCCGTTTATCAATTAGATCCTTGATCTCCCCTTTGAAACTTGTCATCAGGGTCATGAGCTCATTTCTTATTATAGGGGTGGATCCTTCGGCCACCTGAGGTTGAGCATCCGGCTGGTCGACTGGTTCACTAGGACCCGCCTGCTCGCAGTTTCGTTCCCTCCTTTCGGTGGGGCGGATGCGCCGAGTTCTAAGGGACCCGTCAGGGGCCGTATGAGTATCGACTTCATAGTCGTCATTAGTGTCCCGGTCTGAGTAGACTTGGACGTCGGCCATAGGTCGTTTCTCATTTGGAGGTGGTATAGGTTGTGAAGCCATCTCGAAAGTACTCTCCCCACAGACGGCGCCAAATGTTTCGGGGTTTTTTGATGTCCTGCGGGAGAGTTACAATTCCAGGACTGGTTTCTGGATGCCTGTACCTGCAAAACAACGGAGACTCCGGTTGGGTGGAGTTCCGCCTCCGACGATCAATTAAAACGTGTTTGAGGAGTAAAGAGCGGAAAGTAAAGGGTCTCTCTTGGATTCCAAGAGAGTATCTGCAATGTGTAATTGCTCGGTTCGAGGTGTCAGGTGTCTGGCTTTCTCTCAATTTATTTATGAATGGAATTAATTGTGTGTCCCCGGGGGAGAACATCTCCCTTTTATAGGGTGTTGGAAAACGTGCCCAGTACTACGTTTCAGTACACCTAGGACTGATTGGGCGTTGCCTAGGAAATTGGGCCGTTGGAGGCCAGTTTCCTGATTAGCTACCTGTTTGCCACATGTCGTGCCCTGATTGGTCCACCTTGGACCTCTCGCGAGGTGACACGTGGCGGACTCTGGTCGGTCCACATGGATGACACGTGGCAGAGCCTAAGTGGTCCACGTGGCGGGAGAAAATTCCCTAATCACTATTATTCACCCGACTTGCATGTAACCCGACCTAAACTCGACCCAAACCCGAAAAGATGTATGACCCGACGTTACTCGACTCAAGCATGACCCAATCCGAACCCGACCCGTATAAGTTACTACATTAACCCGAAATGACCCGATCCGAGTTGACCCGACCCAACCCAACCCGTTTACCCGAATTGACAGCTCTAATCTATATTATACGGAATATTATTTCTAGTACAAAAACAGTCACCTGGAATTACTATATTATAAATATTACTGTACGTTGTATGACAAATATCACATTTTTTTCCCTTAATATATATGACAAATATCACATTTTTTTATACAACCTCTTAAATGGATCTGGTCCACACTAAGTTATTGTGGACCACTAATATTAGAGACAATATGGTTGTTTTATTAATAAAAAAAAGTCACTATATTAAAATAAAGGTTATTATGTTGAAATGAAAGTCATTATGATATTATAAAGGCGATAAGAGGTTATTTTATTTATTTTTTTGTAAAGAATTTTTTTATATACTGGTCAATATAAATAATAAAAGTTACTATGTTAAAATTAGAGTCACTATGTTTAACATAAACTCGTACTTTAGATTCATAAAGATATTTAATGTCACACAAGTTTTAATAAAAGTTACTATGTTAAAAATAAGGTTATTGTGAACCAGGACCACGCAAGATTTTTTGTATTTTATAATATGACAAATATCACATTTTAAGTTATCAATATATATATATTGAATAAGGTAATTTTGTAACATATTTAAAAAAAAATATTATGAATCTATTAATACTACACAAATTATTATCATTATTATGTCATTTTGTTATTCCAATATTTTCCATTGAGAAATATGGAAAATGTTTTCTTATCAGGAATCTTCTTGCTAATAGCATATTTTTTAGGACGAATATAACATTATTCTATTTGTTTTAATTTCTAGCTATTTATGTAGAACTATTATTTATTGTTTTCCACTATCAATAAGTGTTTATAAAATGAAAATTTTGGGGTTTTTTTTTAAATGTTTCTATAGGTTTCTTGCCCAAGTGTAATAAATAATTTTAAATACTTATTTGATTAATAAAAAGAAAAATGATACCAATTATCATTGAATTTTTTTTTTAACACTCATACAGTTTAAGATGTAGTTTTATACTCCTTGTCCTAATCGACTCTTTTCTTCTATTTCATGTATCATTTCATTGTATATGCAAAATAAGAAAACATAATAAATACATTATAGTTGTATTTTGTCCGTGATAAATTTATAAAATAAAAATATAAAAATATTTACTTTTTTTAATTAAAAGTAGTGAAATTATCATGCATGGCACGAGGCCTAACCTAGTTTGGATTATGAAAGAGATAAAATGTGTGTGTGAGAGAGAGAGTATGAATCATGCAAGAGATATAAAAGATAAAATATTTTGAGTAGAGAGTTTTGAAAAGAGAGAGAAATAATAAAATGTTATATAAAGTTACTAAATAAAAAAGTGATGCATTTAAAGAAAAACACACCCAAAAGTAGTAAGTGATGCATTTTAATAAAATGGTTGGAGTAATAATTACTACCTCCATTCTTTTATGTTCTATTCACTTATGGTAGATACATGATTTAAGACATTGTTAAAGAATGCGAGTGACTCTAAGATAAAGTAAGTGAGAAAATGTAAAATGATGGGGTTTGCCGTTTGTGTAAGAAGAAGGTAAAAAAAAGTAATATAAATATAAAAAAGATAGTATGAAAAGTGTAATGACTGTAAGTTTGAAAGGGTAAGATGGTAAAAGGGTATGCCATATACTTCGTATAGAATAAAGCAAAATGAGTAGAGCTTAAAATAACGGCCTATAATAGAAAGTGAGTAGAAAAAAAAATAAAAAATAAAAAAAAAATAAAAAAGCCAACGAAGAGAGTAGTTTTAATAGTCAATTTTTTTAAAATTGATCCTAAAGGTCAAAATGTAATAAATAAAAACAAACACGGAAAGTAGGATATGTGTCAAACTCCACTAGGTGTACTTTGACAGTACATAGGTACTTTTTATATCCTTATTTATTTTTTCTATTACATCCTCAATTGTGAGTCAACTTTTAAATTCTGACTATAAATTATCATTAATCTGTGAAAATTAATACAAAGAATATGATCTTGTTAATCTACTTTTGAAATGGTACATTTTATAATTTTGGCATAAGCAATTTTGGGATATTTACGTTTTAGGTGGGTCTTGTAGATTGTAAAAAGATCAAATAGAGCAATTAAATAGGAATAGAGAGAATAGTTGCTCATCCTTTCCACTTCTTTCAAGAGGGCCTTATTACTAACTCGAACAATAAAGTTAACCTATGCGAGGTATCAGCCAGTATGGTCGGCTGTCTTCTAGTATGCTCGCATAATAATCAACAAGTGTATAAAAGGAAAATTTCTACGAGAGAAGGTACTCCTAGTAGTGTAAAGAGACAGTTTTAAGTAACATGTTTTTATTTTTGTTAACACATCATTAAGGCGATGTTCGATTTACCTTATTTTCACTTATTTTAAATTTCATAAATTTAGATTAGTTTAGATAAGTTGAGGAAAAACAAGTTCCGATAAAAGTTATCCAAGTTCAAATATTGAGATGAATGTAACAAGATCACATGACTATATTATTCAATAATGTTCAATCAGTTCTCTTTATTTCAATTTCATTTTATTTAATATAAGGAAAAGCGTAGAGAGATTGTTAAATACACTCAGGTGTACCGTACGTCCGTATACCCATAAATATTTTGTTCTCATTTTGATGATTGTTTTTCATTTAATCATTAAATGAAGAGCAAAAACTGATCTTGGGTTAATTGGGTGTACGGTGCATCCGGGTGTAGATAACAAATTCTTAAAAACGTATGATAAAAATAAAACTTTTTTCCCTCAATTTTATTATTAACAACCCATGTCTCACTCAATTACATGCTCCAAAAAAAAAAAGTTATACAACCGTTGATAAGCCGAACATTATTGCATTGATATTTATACCTTGTTTAGTTTTATTATAACACTAAAAACAAAAACTATATAAGGAATTTTAAAACACGTGACTATTTTGTCTAGAAAAATAAATCAATTACTAGACTCCAGTCAAAAGACCTTAGAGCACTACTAATGGTGAGCTAAAAATTTGCTCATGGACATTTTGGGTGGGCATAAAATTTGCTCGTGCATTACAATGGTGAGCAAATGATGCCAAAAAATGCTCATGAGCATTTCTGAAAATGCCCAAAACTTGAGCATTTTTTAAGATGAATAGTGCTCTAGTGGGCCCCACAATTTGCAATGGTTATATTTTTTGTAATGCAAATTCTGAAATAAATATTTATTAAAAAAAAATTAAAATTACCAACGGTCATAAAATTTAATTCTCTATAAATAGACATGCATTTTAGTATATTTTGGTATAATTTCAGAAATACCATAAATCCTCCATATTCTTTATTTTAACGATAAAAACGACACAAATAAAAAAAAATTAAGTTACACAAATTTAGACTAGTTTTTATTTATTTGGAGTAATATTGTTAAAATATAAATAAAATTAATAAATAAAGAAGTGTTGTGTAGGAGAGAGAAAGTAATGGTGGGGTATTGAAAAAGTAAGAGAGAGAGAGTAGTGGGCAAGCATTTATTTTGCTCATCATTGGAAGAGAAATTGTGAAAAAAACTTGCCCATGGGCAAAACAGATTTGTTGAGAGAGAAAGTGGGTAGAAAGATAGTAGGTGGGCATTTTTTTTGCTCACCATTGAGAGTGGTCTTGTTAAGTATTAACAAAATGGAATAAAAACACTTTATTTATCAATTTTTTTTTATATAAGGACCTTTATCATAAATTCGACCATTTAAAAGGATGTTTCTGTCAAATTTCCACAAAATAATTAAAAAAATAAAAATTTTAAGTCAATTTTATTTTATCTTTTGGCTATAGTTTTTTTTTTAGGCAATCTTTTGTGTACAGTTGACCATGTCATCTCGTACATATCCTCTTAACTTTTTTCAAATCTTGTAAAAATTAAATTAAACTAAATTTAAAAAATAAAATAAAATTATACCAACCACCGTCTTCCCCGCCGGCACGTCATTGTCTGTAAATCGCCGCATCTCACCACCCTTCTTCCCTTTCTCTCTCCTCCTTTCACATCTCCATTTCTCTCTCCTCCTTTTTTCAAACAATTCTATCCAAAAATTATCACCCATTTATATTGAAATATATGAACATACCATTTTAGTCATAGTTCAATCTGATCTTATTCACAGATCTCTTAATTTATTGAATCAAATTTCTGGGATTTGATTGATTTGATTGTTAATTTCTGGGTTAATTTCAATCAACAAGAAATGGGTAATGCAAATGGAAGAGAAGAAGAAGGTGGAGGTAATATTAATATTGGCAATGTACATGATTATCTTACTACGAACACGAACCCAATTACAGTTGGTCGAATTACTTCTTCAGATTCAATGGGTGGTAATACACCCCCTGAAAGTCCTCGTCGTTCGGTTTCGCCTCTTTTGTTTACTCCTCAGGTTGGATCGCTTTTACCATTGATTTTATTTTGTTTGAAATGTTTATTTTTATCTGTTTTTGATTGAACTTGTTTTTGTTCGGGATTTAGTTGTCGCGTTACTAGTTCAATATTGGTATATGAGAGTTAATGGTTATCATCTGACGGTGATGGCTTTTGCTTTTGATTTTATTCTGTTTTCCTTGTTAATGTTTATTTATTAAAGTCGGGATTTAATTATCACGTTACTAGTTCAAATTAAGGTATTGACTTATGAGAAATAATTCTGGTCGGATGGAGGGAATAAGTGTTTTGAACATGATGATGACTTAAAATTTGAAGTTATTATTATTGGCTCATGATTAGCTACAAAAGACGATGATGTAGACGGCGTTTTTGAATGGAGGTTTTGGGTAGGAAGATCTTAGTAAAGTGATCTAGTTGACATCCTTCCTGAAACCTGTTATTAGTGTGGTTTTTTTGCTAGTGTCAGTTCACTAAATTAATATTGTCGTTTTAGCATTTTACCTCAATGTTTGATGTATAACTATACGTGATGAAGGCGCTCTAATCCATGCTTAAATGGCCAAAGATGAGATGAATTCTAAGATTTGGAATCCTCCTTAATAAAGTGAGTGTTCCACAAGTGCTCTGTTCTCAAAAAAGCAGATTGCTTTTAGTATTCTTTGGCATTTAGATTACGATGGCTCTAGATTAATGTGAATTTATTCTCAACCAACTAATTATCCAGCTAGTGCTACTGTGTCTCTCAAGCATTATTGGAAGTAAATCGTAGCGCAGACCAAGTATGTGGTTCTTTTTAGGTAACCATGATTTTTCCTATTATCTTCCAATGTTCAACACCATGTTTCCTAGTGTATCTAAACAAATTACAATTTAAACATTGCTTCTTGTTTATTGCAAAGTAGCCAATGAGGATTCTTTTCGGATTAAGGGTTAGTTAGACACAAGTCACACAACCTCGTTGTTATAATGTACATCCCATTTTCCTTATTCATTATTGCCCTAGGGTAATCTTTGATCCCCAATGTCTGTAGAAATTGATGAACTTCTTGTCATTTGTGCTCGCAGAAGGAAAAAAAATAGAGGCGGTCTTTTTTCCTTGTCTGTGAGGGAAACAAAGGCCATTATTTTAGTGCATGTTTGGTATGAATCTAGGAAGTAAAATGTAATTGAAACAAATAAGAAGGGGAAAGGGTGGTGTTAATTGTTATCATAAATCATAAATAGCTGTTTGGTATAATTAAGGAAATTAATCCCTTGTATTTGTTACTGTAGGGTTGAGAAAGGTTATAAGTGAGCGGAAATGTTTATCCTTAGAAAATGGAGTCTATAACCCCACCACTCATACCATGCAATAGTTGACGAAACGGTTAATTCTAAATACATTATACCAAACATGCTCTTAGTGCATTGGCTCATGCTCATTTTTTTGCGAATATCTTTTATGTAATCTATTGGATTTGTTGTGTTTTTTGAGTTTGTAATGTAAGTTATAAAATTTAAACCATCGTATAGTAAGGCATCGTTTATTTTGATTACAGCACTATATAAAGATGTATCTGTATGATATGATCATTGTATTTCCTTATTCATATACTACTAAGCCTGGGCATTCTATTCATCCATTAAGTGTAAATAGTCTCACCTTTTGGAGCTGCTGTTATGATTATGGTCCCTTGCAAGAGTGATAATGATTGCTTCTGAATTGTTAACGAGGACAATATTTTGCAATAAAGTCTGAAATTATTATTTTGATCTTTATACACAGTATTGTGATTATATTTGTGCTATTACTACGAAGTATTATTGTAGCTGTCATAGCTTGATACTGTGATTGACCTCCAAACTTAAGTGTTTCTGAAATTTTTTAACACATTATTACTCAGACAAAGGCAACCTACATATCTTGAATCTACAATGTTAAATATAAAGAGAGCAAGCCATCTTGTTTCTCTTTGGCAGTGGGCTACTTGATAATCCTACACTCCTACGACTCCTTTCCTGTTGTGTTACAAAAGCTTCCCACGGGATTTAGTATGCTATTGATTTTGGTTATTTGAATTTTTACATGTGTTTTGCACTATTGGTTGTGGTTCACTTTGCATTGACAGTTTAGTGAGCTATTAGATAACTGCGTCACTCTCTCCGTGGCTCTGTGCCTTAATAATAGGCCATATATGTATTCTAGTTTGTTCCAATATAATAGGTCACAATCTAAAATTATTGAAGTTTCCTAGATTATCCTTTGTGATATGAGTTTCTGAAGGATTCTACATTTCTACATAGTAGGATAAAATGGTAAACATTCAAAGATGAATTGTAGTTATGGCATTTTTAACTCTATTATATAGAAAATAGCCCAGAGTAAAATGCGGTGGAGAAAGTATAATTTAGGGTCAGAGGGGCTGGAATTTAAAAACAAAGAATATTATTCTTTTATTTTTTATTTTTTTTTTATTTTTAGCTAGTTGGGTAGAAGGAGACTTGTGAGCATAGAAGAGCACGTCTAAGCTGGTATTTTTAAGCTTGAGAAGAAACTTTTGTTTTGTCTTTGAATATCACCTATCATGTTCATAGAGTTTGTTAAGATTTGCAATTACAGTAATTTATCGTGTAAGTGGCACTGCATGGATATGTCATATTGTGGTTTGCAGCCATTTCATTGTTGATTAGCAAAAGTTTTCCACTGTGTCTCTGAAATTGAAGTGTTTGTGAAAACACTGTTTGTATTAAACTTGAAATTATCCTTTCTAGTACCTTGTTTGTGAATTTAATTCTTTCCTATAAAGTGAATTTTAGCAGTATCAAAATGCTTTGTGGCTTTAATAACAGACTATGCCAGCCAATGTAGTTACATAGAGTTTTTGATAAATTTTGAGACCATGTTAATATGGCTATCTATGGGATAATCGACTGAAAATCCTTTACTTGGAAACGATGCATCCTACATTCCTAAGTAGCATCCAATCCCTTGCAAGTTGAGAGTTGATGCAGAACAGGTAGCAGCACTAGCAAAACTAAGCATATTACTAATCCAATCTGCATTGGATTAATAACAAATCATTTAGCTAATGCTAACAAGCTAACCTTATTAGCAGGAATTAAACTTAATCTGCATTTAGATAATTAAAGCATTTAGATAAAGCTACCAAGTCAGAGGTAGGACAAGGTGGGGCTGGAGCTTATCTACTTTGATTAAAATCTTAAAATTTTTATAAAGTCAGAGGTACAACTGTTACCAATTACGCCCTACCTCTCAAGAACTGTGATTTAATACGTTTGTTCACAAACTGCCCTTATCTCATTTCTCAAGTGGTTGAATTGAGATGGAGAATTTTATGAAAGAATTAATCTACAATATTTTCAATTTTGGAAACATAAACGTTGAATAAACCTATAACACGCAACACACTTAAGAGTTTAGGAGCTACTGCTTTTATAGAAATCCCACCATATAATGGTAAATATTGGACCACAAACCCCTCTTTATTTTTCTTTAAAGTAAAACCGACTAACTTTTTTAAAAATTAGTCCAAGAATAGGACACTTATAGAATTGCTGTATATATGATCCTTTTTTTGAATGTTGATGTGTTTGAACTGTGTATTTAACTGAGCTGCATTGCATTCATTGTCAGCTCACCTGAGCACAGCCCATGAATGTAGTGCAATGAATAGCAGCAACAGTACCACGCTTCATGCAAAGCATGTAGTAAACCTTATTCTTGTTATGAATGTTAAATTTGTATGCTGGTTGTGGATGACTTAAGATGTACAACTGTACAAGAAATTCCCTTCTCATGAATTTCTGCTTTTGGTGGTCCCTTTTAATTATTAATCTATCATAGAGTAGTAATTTGAATAAAGCAAATGACTTCTGCCATCAATGTTATGATGATATGCTATATCTTGAAAGTATTTCACATTAGAGGACCATTGTTTCAGATGATATATGGAGTTATTTCCACAATTGATGACTTATGGTGACCTACTACAGTAACAATCCACAATCTTCAGTGTGTGGCTATTAATATTTGTATTTATCAGATTAGGCTGCTTATCAAATGATTGCTTGAACATATGTCGTAACTGCAAATCCTAATGTCACAATAATGTTTTGCAGCTTCCTGTGGCTCCTTTGCAAAGGGATGATGGCGCTATATTTCATAATGATATGAGGACAGAGAGGCTTGGAGCTGTTGATCAGCCTCCTGAGAAAGGAATTCCTGCGGTGATCACTTGGAGTCTTGGTGGCAATAATGTTGCCGTGGAAGGATCGTGGGACAACTGGATATCAAGGTAATCATTATAGTGGCTATGCTTAAAGATGGTTTAATGTGATTTAATTATGCTTTCTGCAGGAAGATTCTGCGAAGATCAGGCAAGGATCATGCTGTTCTTTTAGTTCTACCATCCGGCATTTATCATTACAAATTTATTGTTGATGGTGAGGCACAATATTCACCAGATCTGCCCCATGTTTCTACTGAGATGGGACATGTTTGTAATGTCCTTAATGTTCATGTAAGTATGGCTTTGAATTTGGAAATTTTCTCTGGATGGCACTGATATGTAAACATTGATCTGAACACGCCAATAATTGGATGGTGGAGGCATATGCACAGTGCCCACTGTGCATTAGATGAACATCAAGCTTAAATCCAAAGAACATGAAGGCTAAAATAAAAGAACATATATGACTCAAAAAAAAAAAAAAAAATTAAATAAATAAAAGAAAAGAACAACATATACTCCACCAATGAACATAACTCCAACATAATATCATCTTAATTATAGCTCTTAGGCTTCATGTTCTTTGTTTTTAGGCTTGATGTTCAACGCCAATAATTTAGGCTTGATGTTCAACGCCAATAATTGGAGTTAGTCTTCATGTAATTTGTTTTTAGGCTTGATGTTCAACGGATGCATAGTGAGCACTATGCATCGCCTCCACCATCATGTTTGATTCTATTAACAAGTAGAATAGTGAAGGAATTTTTTCCGAACAAAGAGCTTATGGCCCTATGTGCAAATAAGATAATTAGGTTCTGATTATAATTTTAGTTTTGGAGTAAATATTTTTTTTCCAGATGCTTCTGTGCCCAGGAATGTTGAGGATGCGTAAAGTTGACGACAGTTGTGCTGGACCTTTTTCTTAAAAAAACAATAGTCATCAGCTGCTTCTGTCAGAGCAGTTAGAATCTCATCTAGTGAAGATAGATTATAGATATCTTGCCAACCATGAGAAAATGAATAAAAGAAAATCCACTAAAGAGATTCCACATATTGGTGTGCTCCTTTTGTCCATCAATATACTCAAATTTCAAATTACCATGTTGTAAGATTGGCTTGAAACCAGTCAAGATGTAAAGGGGTCTGATAGGATTCTCATTAGAAACTGGAGCTTATAAATGAAACCTTGAGCACTCTACGCTTAGCTGCTGCTGGCGATATGATGAATTCACATCCTCCCTTTTCCCTTTGGCACTAACCTGTATACCTACGAAATTTCTTCCTTCTTCCCTTTCCCCCTTGTTTTCAATCCCCCTCCCCCCTTCCAAAGCTCCCCTACCTTCTCTCCTTTCCCATTCCACATCCCCTAAATTTCCCATACCATTTCCTTTCTTCTCCATAATCTTTATGGTCCTTTCTTCCACCTCTGATCTAGACGTGCAACCAATTCTAGGCGCCTCATTATGTTTCATCTTTGTCACCTAAATCTTCACATTCGGGAAGCTGTTGGCTTTGCTTTCTTCATCTTATTTCAAGAACTTGTTCAGTTATTCTTACTTAAAGTGCACCAGACCATTGCAAATATATCTTCACTTTATATTTCTAAAAATTATGAAAATTATGTATTAAGAAGAATCTAACAAGACTCCTATTGATAATGTTTATCTTATATATTAATGTATAGATAAGGCCAAGGTTCAGCGAAATCAGACTAATAGATCAGACTAGACCTGACTAGACTTTAGGAAATTCAGATTAGAGAAATTCAGATGAAGAGAACAAAGCCTAAGACTTTACTCTGTTTGGAAGACAAGTACTCTCAGTATTGTATATGTTACATCTTTATGTGAGGGGGGGAAGGGGGGCTGGGGAAAGTTGGAGAGATAGCAACCCTATTTTAATGTTTTGTTTCTCCCAAATCATAAATGTCTTTAGTGCCTTCTTATGGTGGACCATTGTTAATTACAACACATATGAAAATATTGGATGTAATATCTTTTATGGGTATATAGTCTCTCCTTTTGGCCCGTTTGGTAGTCTCTTTTATGGGTAAATGTCTTTTACTAATGGCGTGTTTAGTGCACAGTAAACTGATGGTTAAGTCATGAATTTTGGCATAATTTCTTGGCTAGACCTCATGCCAAAGACTTTTGAAATACATTCCATCTCCAAGTGTTTTTATAATTTATCATTCTTCTAAAAGGGTAAGGTTATACTTTTGGAGAAAAACGTACTCTAAGTAGAATTTTTTTAATATTAACTTCAGTATTCATTAAGTAATTAGAATGCTAACATGGAAATATTATTGTGGATTGTTCAGATTTTAAATGGTCTTAATTTTTATGTTGATGTTCATTTGCAGGATTATGTACCGGAAAATCTAGACAGTGTAGCTGAATTTGAGGCACCAGCATCACCAGAGTCAAGTTACAATCGTGAATTTCCAGGAGAAGATGATTTTGCAAAGGAGCCAATGATAGTACCACCGCAGCTACAGCTAACAGTCCTTGGTGTTGAAAGTTCAGATGAAGCACCCTTTTTGAGGCCCCAGCATGTCGTGTTGAACCACCTTTTTATAGAAAAAGGTTGGGCTGCTTCTCAGTCTATGGTTGCGCTTGGTCTGACCCATAGGTTTCAGTCAAAATATGTTACTGTTCTCCTATATAAGCCAGTAAGAAGGTAAAGATGGCCAATTGTTTTTCCTGTTTTTTTAAAATTCTGTTTGTTGGATCCCTATCATATCTGTTTCTTTTTCTGGCTTTTCCCTCTCCCCCTCGTTTTTCTCTTTGGATGGGTGTAGTCAATATACCCATCACCATGTAAGTAAATGAACGTGTGAAAGTTAAACTGTTAATAGTTGAACCCATACAAATCTCAACCTTAGTCTTTTGTTCTCTTTCCTTGCGGAAAGACAAAGTAGCGAGCAACCAGTGTTTTATGCAACTGAGTCAATAAGTTTCATAGGTTTCTCGAGTAAATCGAATCTCCTTCTTTTTTTTAAAAAAAAAAAAGTAGATCGTCGAAATTTTTTAACCCCCTTCCTCCTCATTACCCTGGACCCATTTATTGTGATGTCAATTACTAATATTCTATCTGTTAATGTCATCTAGTTTAGGTTAGACGAGCTTGATCAGCTCAATGGATAAGTGACTTGGGGATATATTTGTTTCAGTATATAGGCTGAGGCTGTTCTATTCGGCTTTTTTTTTTTTTTAATGTCTGAACCTATATTATCTGAACTTATTTTGTCTTAAGTCAAAATGAGTTATACTGAACGGGGCATATACCTTATCTGCTCTTACTATGCTTTAGGTTAGGTTTAGCCCGATTTTGGTTTGATTTTGGCAATTTTGTACGAGTGACGAATTGCTGCTATGAAATCAATTTTAGTCTACAATGAAGGTCAAAGTTTGACGCCCCAATAAAATAAAAATATAACCAATCGATTAAATTAGATTTAGCTATTTAGTACAGTACAGCAACACCAGAAGTGCAGATTCAGTAATCAGTGTTGAACTGTTGATCTTGCTGGTAAGTTCTAGCAGGAGGAAGTGTGCTATTGCTAGCTTTTGGTCACAAATTGCTGCAGCAGCTGTTCGTCAAGTTGAATCTGTACTCCGAGTCTTCTAACTCATTCTTCGACCTCTTATCTGTAGGTGACATCTAATTTGTGAGAAACGCCCTCTACTTTGTCGAAACTTGAATAATGCGTACAACATACGAGCTATTTTAAATTGAAATTACTTCGTATATTTTATTGTTTAAACAAGTTCTGATTGAGAGGGAAAAAAGAAATCAAACGAGAAAGATAAAAATCAGAATCTGTTGCCTAATTATCAAAATTAATGTGATACACAGACATGTAATCGTAACTAATGAAGCTATGTACCTTCAATTCATATGATTTCACCTTAAACGCGTAATGCAATTCCTTTGCTTTATAATACGGAGTGATAGAATACATCTTATGAAATTTTTAAAGGAATGAGTAAAAACTAACCCTTAAAATCTCTTCTTTTTTTGTTTATTATTATTTTTTTTCATAAATTAAATTTTGTAAGTGTTCAACTTTGTGAAAAGCTTGGGAAAATAAGATCAAAATAAAAGTGTGACCTATTATTTAAAGACTGTTGTAGTGAAAATGACAATGCAAGATTAAAACTAGAATGAGATATGGAAACGCACTTTCTTTTGGAACAACACCATGATTTACAACAATTCCTCCAGCTACGCGATATCCTTGGCAGCTTTGGTGGCTGTTGAGCTCTCATCTTTCTTTTCCTGTATTGATTAAGCAAGAGTGTATGCCATGAATCAGATCAAACTCTAATTGTATTATAATCTATATACTAGGGTAGCCACTAGTAGAATTATTTCTCCGTTCTCACTCGACGTTTGCCACAAGATTGACCCATATTCATGATGATAGAGGACACAGAAATGTGGCAATTTTTCCAATGGGGTTAATCATGCATAAAGAGAAGAAATAAAGAGAAAAGCAACTAAAGTTTCAGCTTCTTTTACAGTCTTCTACGGGTTTTCTCAACTAAGTTAATTGACATCTACAAAAATTGAGTGAAGGGACAAGTGGGGTAGACATAGGAAGTGGAGGAGATAGGATCGAAGAAGAGAGAAAAGTGAAGGGTACGACAGTAATAATTAGACCGAAAGAGGGAGAAGGGAGGAGAAAGAAAGAGATGTGACATTGTGTTAATCACTTGTTAAAATTACTCTAATAAAATTATTTTGAAGATTATATATACTACCACCATATTGTTGTGAGGAAAATTTTGAGGAATTTTCAAAAATCATATCATATAAAAAGAACTAAAAAGGGAGATACTTCTAAAATCATTATATTCCGAGTCCTTTACCTTAAGCTTAGAGGCCATAATAAAAGAAAACATAAAAATAAAATCAAAGCCTCAAAGGAAGAATAGGAAGATTATTACTATCTATCAACAACTATCAATCATAGATGGCATCATTGCGCAAGTTGATGTTCTTTTAGGTAGTTGGTGAAGAATATAGCATATCTAAAGAAACTTTTTAAAAAAAAACCATTAGATAACTAACATGGCAAAATAAGCTGTTTTTAAAAAAAAATTAAAAAAATAAATAAATTGTTGGAGAAAGTAAAGTAGTTTCACAACTTATCATGACCAAAGGCAAGATGTAGTTATTTAATGATTAACTTTGAAACCTTTAATGTCATGGTCAAATATTGTAAGGGTAAAAAAAAAAAAAAAAAAAAAAAAAAAAAAAAAAAAAAAAAACAATTAATCCTTATCAAGAAAAAGGTATAAACCCTCTAACAATTACACCAATGAAGCCTTGACCTAGTGGTTAAGACTAAAAGTCTTGGACACGTGATCATCAAATCCCTCATTTGGACCAATTTGTAAATCTCGTCTCGCGTACACATTAGCTACCTAGAGACAGTGTGATAGCTAACCATTTCGAAGATGCGCAAACTTTACTCTGTTAGACTTTAGAAGAAAAAAGAGTCGGTCTTTGCATTTGTTGTTCGGTATCATATATCCTAAGATTGATGCCATTTTGGTCTAGTGTTACAAATTTAAGAAGCTGTAATTATTTAATGGTGATTTTTATGAATCTAATGATATGCACAAAGATTTAGCATCTGCACAGACTTTTCTGCAAGCACACATGTGCCCCATATGCTATTAGTATTAAAATTTGTTAGATTATACTTAATTAAACTGAATGACAGCTTTAATCACATAATTTGCACATCAAAAATCTAAATAATTGGTTTCTTTGTCTAGAGATGTTGGGAAACCAAAATCAAACACTTATAAGGGAAAAAAAAAAAAAAAAAAAAAAAAAAAAATAATAATTAAAATAAAAAATCTTGATTTTGAAATTATAAGCAAAATTTAGTCAACCAAAAGCCAATAAATTTGAATCCAATTGTTCTAGGTTCATAGTACCAAAGATGAAAAAACCTTAAATAATAAGATAAGAAAAACACTATTAACCCCAAAACTTGTAGAACCCAGGACAGGGCAAATAAGCATATATAGCAAAGAAGATTTACCTACACAATAAAAGCAAGAAAAAGGAGATGAAACACCAAAAAAAAAGACTATTAAAAATAATAATAATGATAATAATAGTGCCATATTATGAGTTTGACCTAGAGGGGATAGAATTTTGGAAATCTCATCAAGCTTATCTTCCCTGTCCTGTAAATTAATTCAAGGGGGTTTTTAAAGTAAGACTCGGTGGATTCTCACTTGGCCATCATAACCTTGACAAACTCCTCGTAGTTGATCTGACCATCACCATCTACATCAGCCTCACGGATCATTTCATCAACTTCTTCATCGGTCAGCTTCTCACCAAGGTTTGTCATCACGTGACGAAGCTCAGCTGCAGAAATGAAACCGTTTTGATCCTTGTCAAAAACTCGGAAAGCTTCTTTCAGCTCCTCCTCTGAGTCAGTATCCTTCATCTTCTTGGCCATCAGGTTGAGGAACTCTGGGAAGTCAATTGTTCCATTTCCATCAGCATCTACTTCATTAATCATGTCCTGTAGCTCGGCTTCAGTTGGGTTTTGTCCAAGTGAACGCATCACGGTTCCGAGTTCCTTGGTGGTAATACAACCTGGAGGAAAATACACATTAATTACATCAATGGAATGAAGTCGTCACAAATTTAGACATATGCAATAACCAGAGAACAGAAGTCAAGGATAATAATGTATAACAAGAAACCTCATCATCTGTAAAAGCAAGGAATTCACTCATTAAGCAAAAAGGAAAAGAAAAAAACAACCATTAAAGAAAATAAAGCTAAGCAAAACCAGATCACGGGAGCTGTCACGGGCAAATAATAATATGATGAAAGAGGATATGAGATGTATAGTAGGTGGTCAAAAAGAGCATGGAAATAATTCAGATGTAGATGAAACAGTTCAGCGCCTTTCTATTCAAATCACGTAAGTCAGGTTCTTGTAAAGCCATAAGTTGCAATCACAAATTCACAACACACTACAGGACCAAATGCTTATGTATCATTTACTCAAGGTGCACACAATTAATCAAATGAATGCCTGAATATGTTATACCGTTGAGAATTGAGACATTCTGAAACATAAAACAGCGACAGATAATCAAACTTGAATGGGTGAACTACAGAGCTATTGACATATTGACCTTTAAATGCGCAAAACTACCAAGTCTCGGGGCTAAATATTACTTATGGTAACAGTTGACACATATGGTTGACTGGTTGACCTTTATTATCCCCCTTAATTCATCACCAATGTACAACGAAACAAGTTCTCACATAGATTTTAGACATTGTCATCGAGGTACATTTGATCAACTCCAACAATTATCCGGTGGCAATTCAGCAACCAATCTAACAATATCATCTGTCAAAAACACCAAGAAAAGATAGAAATAATGACATTCGAACATCCACTTCCTCAGTTCCTCCCCTTCCCCTCCCCAACCCAAGGCCAAACATCAAGTCCTCCCCTCCCGCTTCCCAACATAAAGGCCAAACATCCAATTTCTCCCATCCTACTCCCCTACAGACAGGCCGAACATCCAATTCCTCCCCTCTTGCTCCCCAATAGAAAGGCCAGAAAACCGCCTTTTTCCCACCCCCTCACCAACAGAACGAGATAAACAAAATATTATAAGCAATCATACCAAACAACCGATGGTTGACTACCTCATCTACAGGTAAAAATCCTACCAGAGAAGCTCAGCTCCTCGAAACACATATCGATATGTCAGCTATTAAAAGAATTTTGGCAAACTTAGGGTTCATAATTCGAATTTTTTACTCATTTTCAAAAACATCCCACAATAGCTTCAACAAATCACAAAAATGGCAAAGAAAAACCATTCAATTCAAGAATTTCATTCTCATCCAATCAACCCTGTTGCATTTGCTTCCATATATAACATCAAACACACCCGTAA